GTTCAATGGCATCGATGGAGCATATGGCTGATACCCATGATGCTCCTTACCTTAGTTCTGAGGATTTGATACAAACCCCTGATTATAAGTGGAATTCTGAAAATGATTGACTGCTCGATTTTATCGGTTAGATCGATTTCCATGCCATCCAAACGTATTTCTTGTTTGAACTTGATTGACATCCCATGGAGTTGGTGGAATCACGGTCGGATTACTGAATTGTTGTTGTCTTTGTAAATTCCAACAATTAGTGGGTAAGTGCTTGCCTCTACAATATGTACATTTACCCAACACTTGTGAAGGTGACGGGCATTCCGTTACCAAATGACCGTGGCCCTGACAGTTACTGCACCATACATTGGTCCTAGAATTGGTTGGCTTTTGCCTCTTCTCCTTATCTTTGGCCATATTAACGGCCATTTTCTCCATTTTCTTCGTCAAGTTCAATAATAAGGCTTCATTGGAATCTTTTGAAGTTAGTATTATTTGTTTTTTTGCCAAAGTTGAATCTTATGTTTGATATGGAAAATATAGAGCATACGCTGTTGTGACTTGCGGTGGTAAAGCTTGCAATGGGATAACATTAACTGGCCCCTGAGTATTGGCACTTGAATGGGCCATTGTTTCGATCATCTGTGGATAACTATCCACTGATCCGTTCAAAGCCGGATATTGATAATTGCTTTGAACTGGTATCATCATGACACTCGCAGTTAAAAACTGATCATAATGGCATTCCTCCCAAACCTTGGCTCTATCAAGGAATGCAGATACCGTAACTGGTTGAGCTTCTTTTACAAACATTTTTAGCTCTGGTGGGTGCAAACCATTTATTAATATAGATAATATAAATGCCTCCGGTATTTGGTGGTTCTGCCACTTACTAAGTATATCAGCCACTCGGCCATAGTACGATTCCACCGCCTCTCCTAGGATCATTTTGCTGTTCATTAACCTTCCTCGAAGATGCTCTTCAAAACCAATTGGTCAAAAACGGCTCAAAAATACATTCTTCAATGTTTCCGAGTTCGAAAATTGACCAACTGGTTGACGGTTATACCATTCAAACGCCATATCCTTTAAGGTTGCTGGCAACCATTGTAACCAAATATCCTCGGTTCTTCCATTATTGGCGACACATGCTGTCAAAAACTGCGACAAATGTTGATCTGGATCTGCACCCGGAAAGCCCCTAAAGGTAGGTAATGGAGCCACGCTATTTGTGTGATCAGTCTTAGTATCCATTTGTACTGCTATGGGAACCGCTGGACCTCCCGTCGTCATTGAATTTGACAATGTGACACTTAATCATTTGTTAATATAGTCTGCGTCTCTCCCAAATATATTTTCCGAACTTTCCACCCTGCTCAATTTGCTATTATTATCCTTGAACAAGTTTATTGGTTGAATAGAAGGTGAGAATGATGGATTTTGAAACACACTAAATTGGCGCTTATTGACCAATAATTCATGCCATTCTATGGAACCAGTTTTAACGAAATCGGCAGTTTTCGCTATTGGAAACGTACCCAATGGAGTACCCAACTCTTCTGTGATTCCTCTACTCTTAGTTAACGGTCTCAGAAGAAACCCTGGCCTATTGACCAAATTTTCCACAAGTGCTCTTGGCAATTTCTCTAACGGTATATACTTCTGAAATATTAGATGTCGATTAGCTTCTAGGTATGCTCGAATATGACAACAGGCATGCAACCATCGCTTAATCCAGCTTTGTCTATGATTCCTTTTTAACTTTCTTTGTTGCTCGTTTCGCAACAAATTTCTTGCTTGCAACCTCTCTATTCTTTCTCTTGACTGCCGTATTTTCTTTACTGTTAAGTTCTCATTCTTAATAACCATACTCTTTCATTATATTCTTCTGCGACTGCTACCTATTTTCCATCTACTTCAACTGGCAGTTAATACCTAACACTCCATGCTATTATCAATTTCTCCGACAGCGGCGCCAAAATGTGATTGTCGTTTTACTTACTCTAACTAATCTAATCAGAGTAAATCTGTATAGGGGGATTCGAATACATGGAAAGAATACCGCATGAGCTTATACGTTAGGGTCACACAATTAACTGTATTCCGCACTACTTAAAACACCCAGAAAATACTACAATGCTTTCCACTTCCTAATAATACTCCACCATCACTGATAACAACAATATGTAATCCCGCACTATCCTAAATGACAGGACATAATCATATTATAATCCAAATTCTAGAATTCTTCACCATTAACTGCCTTCACATTACAGTGTTTCACACAAACACAGACTCATTCTCTCTACTGAACTACAATCAGATTTCAGCATTCAATCTTTCTTCTTTCCATTTAATAACAATCATACTTCCATTCCATAATTCACTTTCATAATATTCAGAAACTCTTAATCTTCTTATTCAAAGAAAATAACAAACAAAAGAAAAGAGATAGCACCAAGCTTACCCCGGCTCACACTATCACAGTCTGGTCCTTACTTCCTCTCTCCCATCCTCCTTATGCTACCACGAGATACCAACTGCTACATCTCTAATGAAAACTGCTTTTCCTAACTATTCATCTATTTTACCTACTGAACTACCTTTTCAACAGTCATCTATCCCTGTTTAGACTATAAACTAAGTATCTACAATTCAACAAATAACTACTTATTCTACAAACATGGATCAAATATTTTTCGCCTAAATTGCTTAAAATTTAATATTTTGATTTATATAAGATAATATGCTCTATATTGGAAGCCAAAACTAAAAAAAAAAATTGACATTAAGTATAGAAGATTCAAGATTACATATACTAAAAAAAAAATAAAAAAAATATATATATAGAGAATGGTTGGACATGACTCAATTTCCAATGGAAGTTGATGTAGCAAAAATATACTAGATTATATTGCCATGGACATACAAATACAATTAATCTTATAAAATATATGTAGAAATATGTGAAATTTATCTTTTTAAATAGAAAGGTGAATCAATAACTTGATGAATTTATTACTACATTGATAAGCAAGCTAGATATAAGACATTATTTTAAAAGAATTACTTTAGTGTAATACTAAAATGATGCCTATATATTGAGTGAATCAAAGAAGTATTCTTTAAGAAGTAGAGACAAACAAATATTAAGATTACAAAGAGCTAAATGGTTGGTTAAATATTATAAACAAGATCAATTGTCAAATTTGGAAGTTCTTGATGCATATTGCATAGAGTTTATCTTTCAAAGCTAAAATCTTCCAACAAAATGATATATTGTTAGTTTATCTTGTAAATGATATAAATGCAACAATTATGGTCCCTTATATAAATACACGTGGTCTCTAAGATGGATTGTTAATTAAGAATATCCACATCTATTAGATTTATAATCAAATGCATATAAAAATAATGGTTTTTTGAATTGAAAAGAAGATATTTTTAATGATGGCTTAAGTAATGGATCATATAATGGTTGAAGAAATAGAACAAATAGTAGAAATTAAATTCTTAAGCATGATGTTCAAATCCATTGCTTATTGGAGATAATTAATTTAATGACACTAAAAAATATAGAGGCCTTAACTGTGGAAGAATATGATGCATTCAATAAAGCAATAAAATCAAACTTGATACTTTTAAAAGATACAAGGGACTTATTACTAAGACTCCTATACATTTCTATGTCAAGAGAATGTGGTAGTATCACCTCTATACAAAGTCATATCATAAATACTAGACTTGGATTTGGAAGCCAAAAAAAGAAGAAAAAATTGGATAATGAAAAAAGATATGGTGAAAAGATTCTAATAGTGCCAAAATCTAGTGGACTCAAAATTTTATGACAAGGATAAGAAGATAATAAAAAAAAATACATATGAGTGAGATTACCCAAGCTATGTAAAATAACATGTTCAAATTATAGTGATCTAAATATATTTTTTGACTGGAATCACCAAAATTGAGTGAAGAAATTGCCAATACATGATTATAAAAGAAGATAATGGTATTGCATTAAATAAAGAAGGGCACAATTTTAACCAAGATGTAGAATTATTCTTCAAAGATTTAGATTTTTTATTAAGATTATGGATGCAAAATTTGGTACTTTGTATAAGGATTTGATTTGATTTGATGATAGTTCATTTGTGGTATTTTCTATTATATATATAATAAAGACTCATTTTAGTGGTGGTTTTTATGACCACACCATTTTAATTATTGCATTTGTTTTAGTTGTAAAACTACTTAGATACATAATGCTTGTAGAAAATGTTTTATGATTTGAAAAATATTTTGAAGAGAAATTTTGTAATATTTTTAATGAAATATGTGTAATTTAAATATTTAAAAATGAGTTTGAGAAAAAAATAATGAGTAAATTTTTGAAGTTGGAAAAATTCTTCATGGAATCAAAAATATCATGTAAATATATGAGTGCCGTTGTGTATGGCAACAGAAAAATAATTTTGAAGCAAGAGTGATGGTTGAAAATTGGGATTGAGAGGCTGCCCCTGAACAAACTTCCGCACCCACGTGAATGCGGATCAGTGTGGGCCCAATGAGGGTGTAGAATATGGATCCTTGCGGGCCCAATTAGGAATGGGTTCTGAGTTCCCAACCTGCCGCCCTCCAATCTGCCCGCACTCCAACCTGCCCGCCACCCTGGTTCCCTTCCGTTCCCTCCCTGCGTTCCTAATAAGTCCTGTAACAGCCAGCTGGCCTAGATGTCTCGATCCAGTCGATTGAACAAGGAGGTTTCTGCGACACGATTCTACGAGGACTGTCGGGATTGACCAGGCCACTAGTCACGCATGTCTTCCGAGAGCAAGGCGAGGCTCGTGTTCAATTGGAAATTCGCACGTGGGGTGGTGCATGTTGTGTACCGATTCCCACCTAAGTTTTTTTCGGTGCAACTTACCGCCATGCAATTAGTTTTCCAGCTGCAACTTGCTAGCGAAAACTAGTGGAGAACCTCACAAGTTCCGCTGTGCCGCGGACGCATTCTGTGACGTGTCTCGCTGCGTATTTGATGCTTCTGGCTGGCGACTTTGGTGTCTCGTTTAGCGGAGAAGAGGTCAAAGTAGAATATTCAGTGTTATCGGTTCTAAATATGGTTAGTTTCGGGCGGATTCGGTACTGGAGTATGATGGAGAACCGCTGGATTCGTGATGGGGATCGACTCCGTTGCACTTTACGGTGGAGGGGGAAGGATGACGAGAGTCTGTTTGGACGCATTCAAGCATGGTTTGAACTTTTCCTCAAAGTCTCCGCTTGCTTCTCCTCTTAAGATAACGCGGTTTGCTGATCCTTTTCCTGCTCGTCACGTCTTGCTGCTCATGTTGGTTTGTTGGTCTTTGCCTCTGCTCGCTCTCACATTTCCCCTCGGGCAAGGCTGTGACAATCTGTGTTTTGCGCTCCGCGTTCGCATCGTTGATGCATAAAGAGGTCTCTGTAGAACTCTGATGTGAGCCTCTTCTTGTTCTGCTGACTTCGGACGCTAATTGAACGACTTCATCTGCTGATGTTTGCTGTTGTTCGTGCCAGGGGGAACTCAAGAATAGTCGTGAGTGTTTAGGCTTTCAGAGAAACTTGCTTCCTACAAACTGGAGGATCTTGCAGGTTGAGAAAAATTTCCTACCAGGTTTGGGAGTTGCTGTGAGAGAGCACGCTTGAGATTCTGAGTGCTCTCACTGTAGTTGGTTGTAGAGGACAGGACCACGACCTGAAGAATTCTAAGCATTCATTGGCATTAGACAATTCTTGGAGAACATAAGTTGAAAGTCTTCATCTAGTTGGTGTTTCGTTATGAAGCGATCGAAATACCTGGCGTTGGTGTCACTTCTTCTCCTAGTTTTCCTACCTCCAGGAGGTGCAGCTAGCCCACACGGCGATGGTATGTGCTTATCTCCTATTTTTCAAATAATGCTTTAGTTTTCTTTTTCTTTTTCTCCTGAACCGTTCTTGCCCAGATTTAAAGTGATTTGTCAGCGATAGGATCGTATGGGTGAGACCCTACTTTGCAAGAACTTATGTTAGTTGCGAGAACACATTGAATCCGTTTCAAACACCTCAGAATTTCAAACCATCCAGACATCAGTGATTCAGCAGTTCTCTACATCATAAAACAACGAAGTGTGATCAGTAGCTCTGAAAGTCAAGCAGATGTTTTGCTTCTGAAGTGCAGTTTACATAATAATGTGCAATGGAGTTTCTGAGCTGTTCTTTTTGCTGAAATACGTACAGTAACGGAGGGGCGAGTTGCGACTTTCGGTGGGCGTCGAGGTCTTCTACAAGCTGGTCCTGGTTCACGTAAGAATTCGACACATTCTTATCTCCTACCAGCAAGCCTCTATCTGAACAGAAATTTCGTTCTCTTTTCAATTCGAGCTCATCTGTTGTAGACTTCGTGCTTTGTGCGGGTTCTGTGTCTCTGTTTGCAAGTGCGCTTAGAAATATTGAATTCATCGTCTTTGTCGGCATTGACAGCACCTTCAACGACGCCCTCCACTCCAGGAACGACGCCTCCAACTCCAGGAACGACGCCTCCAACTCCAGGAACGACGCCTCCAACTCCAGCAACGACGCCTCCAACTCCAGCAACGAAGCCTCCAACTCCAGGAGCGACGCCCCCGACTCCAATTACGACGCCTCCAACTCCAGGTACACCCACGACACCTGGCTCTACTCCCGGAGCGAGTCCTAAAATCCCAGGATTTGCTCCAGTATCTGTTCCAGGTTAAGATTCAATTACCCCCTTATTTAGCGATTACGTAATTGCAAACCCATCAGTGTGAGAAGATTCCATCCACTCCAAACATGCCCTAAAACGAAGTGAGTGACATGAATCCATCCAGCAATGCTTTGAGTGTCTTTGGTTAGGCAAGTGGCCGTCGAAGTAATCCTTCGACTGCAGACAAGCCCTGACCGTGGAAGTCTGGCCTGATCACTCCCTGCCGCAAGTTGCTGATGCCCCACTCGGCTCTGTGCAGGTGTTCTTCCCAGTCCTCCACCAATTGCTCCAGCTCCTGCCCCAAGTAAGCTTTCCTACCATTCTATTGTCTCTTCCATCACTTCCACTCTAACCCTACCTTGTGGACATGTACATTTGCAAAGAAATGCCCCACTGCGAGCGACGTCGTTGTTGGCGTTTCTCCCCCTTTTTCTCACCACTTTCCGCTTGTGTGTTCAGTTGGAGTTACATCCAGGCAAAAGCTTAATGCCATCATCGCAGGATCCGTTGTAGCCGGGGTGGTAGGAATCGCACTAGTTGCCATCTTCTGCCGCTGCTCATGCTTGCGAAGACAAAAAAAGCTCCCATTCCAAAGATTGCAGATGACTTGATTGCATCACCAGAACCTGCAACGTCCAGTTGTGACGCAAATCAACAAACTACGGTGGCGGTTAGTACCTGCAGGCGCGGGGCAATTCTTTATTGCATTAAGTCTCTTGCACTTTAGGTCGCTAGAAAAACGGCACACAGCCTCAGAAAACCCTTTGGGCCCTTGTCAGAAACCGATAATGCGTCTTCCATAGCCTCGTCTCATCGAGGTCCTCATGACTCAGACTCCACTGTGACTCCAACTAGCGTTCTAAAACCTGCAATTAAATGGAGCTTGTGACTGCAATGGGCAACCTTCAGCAATTGTTATCAGTGCGATGCATTGTGAGCACGATGCATCGTTGGAATTGACACACTCCAGCAGCAAGCGATGCAACCAGGCTCTCATCATGTCTCGGCAAGCGCACGTTTGCATGAGGTGGATTGCACTGTTGAAATTAGGGCTAAGGTTTCCTTCTAAGAGTTAAAAGGTGGTTCAGTCTTTTACTTTAAACTAGGAATAAAAATTGTTGAGGAATGTAGCGACCTTCATGGGGCGAGAGTTGAGTTTGCCGAATGAAGTTCAAGCGAAGTGATTTGTGTTTTTGCAAACTCAATGATCCAATCTATAGATTTGACTATGGATGTATAATGAAAAATTTATGATAAATGTTGAATGTATAAAGTAGAAAATAATTTATTTTGCTCTTAATCTTTTTTGAACTTTTTTAATACAATTCAACCTCTAGTTAGGTTTTAGTAATAATTGTATTCAAAAAGATATTGTTTATTTAGGATTTATTATATTTTAATAATATTATAAAGAACAATTGTTATTGAGATTTGAAACCATGTATGAGAAAACAATGCACAAGGAAGAGGGATTTATTAGTTTTAAAATTAAAGTTTGATAATAGTAGTAGTTTAATATAAAATTACTAAAAGTATAGATTTTTATGTTGTGAAAATGTAAATGAAAGTTGGAAGTAGAGGTACACAAGTACCAACATTAGATGCAAAGAATACAAAAATGTTAACAAAGGATAAAGTATGACACATGTCACACACTATTAATATTTAAAGGAATATGCAACAACCACATTCAACAAGAATATTGCCTAGTGAGTACTTTCTTCATGGTTTTAGCCAAAGTTATTCTGGTTTTCTAATTTGTACTACTTCCAAAGAGATTTTTGTTAATGAATACCTAATTACAATAGGAATTGATCACTTGACCTAATACATTTAAACAATATGCTTCTTAGGAAATAAATCCTTTGACAAAATATTCTAAAAATAGCTATTGGAACTATATAACAAAATAAAAGGCATAATCCATCAAAACAGAAATATTAAAAGAAATAGCTTCTATTTTAGATTAAAGGTGGTAGATATTAGTGGGATTATATTATTATTGTTTTCATTCAAATCCATTGCATGTCTATGCAACTTTTAGCCATAGGATCCAAACTTTGATTCTAAAGTTGTATAGTATCTAAATGCATCTAAAAGAATGAGAGATATTAAAATTTTGATGTAGATAATCTTGAAAGATGTATAAGATGAGTTTTAATTGATAATATGATATATTATAATAAGCTTGGAGTAAATTATACGTAAAGGTGCAGAAAAAAAAAAAAAATAAAAAAAAAAATACTAATCTAAAGTTCTAATAGGCCTAATCTTAAGAGTAGCCTTAGACTTAGAAATTATTTTAAAGATCTTATTCTTAAAATTAAAAAATTAAAATAATAATTAAAAAAATCTTTTGATATATTTTTAATTTTTTTTTTATAATAGAAAATGGCATCATAGATTGCAAGCTATTCAACAAACTAAAATTTTAAAATATATTTGCTATATAATGTAGATATTGATATTCAACCATAAATAATATTAACTAAACTTGGTTAAAGGTGGAACCTTAGCAATAAAATATAGCTATGACAATGAATAGGCAATAAACTTTTAGTAATTAATACATAGATATAGAAGGTTTTATGCTTATTTTAAGAATACCAAATATATATATATATATATATATATATATGGTATAAATAATATTGGAAGTGTTTATTAAAACAATGCAAAAAATAAAAAAGATGTAGAATGTAACTTAGAAATAACGGTAATAAATTACAAATATTATAAATTATTTATATTTATAAGTTATATGGCAAAAATGGAATGGTCTTCAAAAATGAAGTATTGATAAGAACACAGTACCAATAGAATATTCCAACTCAATAAGACATAACATAATAATAAAGCATCTAGATTAAATTAATTTTTTTTAAAAAAAACCTTAATAGGTAGCAATATTATTGCACATATTAAAAAAAAAAGGCTTTAAATTAATTTTAAAACATGAATATTTATTATTATTAATAAAGAATAAGGTCTAATAGTAACTAATAATGTGTTAGGAACATGAATCCAAAGAATGTAAATAAACAAGTGAAATATTTTTCAAAAAAATATAATTTAAAAAAAGAAGTAAATATTTTTATTTATTTATTTTTGAAATGGCTATTGTCAAAAGACAACAAAACTAAATATGGAAACTATGATAAAGAAGAACTTGAAAATAATATTTTATTAAACTTCACTTCTGATCCTAGAGTTTGATAGTTTTGGGATTAAAATTCAATCACCAATTGTATTTAATTGATGAATCGTTAAAACTTTGAACTTGTGCCATCAAACTTTTCAAGCAAGGTAACTTTTGGTTCTTCAATACTTAAAGGTGTTCTACTATAGGAGAAGTAACATGATTTGGTGTAGATATTAAAGTAACTCCAATTATTTTTATATCTTCACGACCTACTAATCTTATTGCTTCTTGTGATGGTAAATTGAATTGATGCATTACAAGCATTAATTTATTCAATTGCTCTTGCATTTGTGCCATTGCATTCTTCATTTTAAGAAGCTTTGCTATGATAATACAATAGAAAATAAAATATCTAATATCCTTCAAGATAGATAGAAGAGAGGACTTAAGAACAAAAAAAATTCTAAGAATAATATTAATTTAGAAGTGAATAATCCATAACTTCTAATATGCTTATGTCTTATCAAGAAAAATAAATAATCTATTCTTAATCAAGAAAAGACAAAGCTTTTATATTATAAGTGTAATCTTATCAATCTATCAAAGATAAGAATTCAAAGAATTTAAATAAATAAGTGAGATATTTTTCAAAAAAATATAAATAAAGAAGAAATAAATACATATATTTTAAAAAATAATTGGAATAACTATTGAAAAATAACAAGAAAATTAAAGTCTTTTGAAATTAGATTAGAAGTAAGAAAATAATTGACAAGAGTGAGGAAGGTTTTTTTTTTTACCTATATATATACTATCTAACTAAAAACTACATAGTAACATTTTATAAGACCTCTAATATGTGTCCAACTTATAAGACATGTGTCCAACTTGCAAGATAAGTTTCTTATTTATGCACTACATGTCCAACTTGTACCTCAAGTCAAAAACATGTGCAATTCATGGTAGACTTGTTGGCCAAGTTTTTAATCTATCAATCACCTATAGAAATGTATAAAAGCAAAGTCACATCTATGAAACTTCTTTAAAAGATATTATCAAATTTATCTACTTTTATATATATTTCTATGTATTCATATTATGTAGGTAATTATTAAAGTAAATATAGATGTTTGTATTCCATGACTATTATTATTACTAATATTGGATCAAATAATAAAAAAGATATTATAATTTTTTAATAAATAATAAATTTAAATTTGTAAAAATTCAAAGAAGAGCATAAAGGTTGTAAAAAAATATAAAAAAATAAAAAATATCATAACATATAATAAAATAATTAAAATTTAAACCATAATAATTAACAAAAAAATACCACAACAGAGTTGTGCCTAAGACAACTTTAATAAGTATAGTTATCTTATCTCAAAAAAAGAATCAATCAAAGAAATTATAACAATAAGAATGTTAAAATATAATATATATTTTTAATGTCAAAAATTCAAATTCTACAAATCCTTCTTAGTTTTAAGATGGGAAGTCAAAAGAGACATGTAATAAAAAAAAATACTAGATCTACTTTTGATGCTTCTATTATAAAATAATTTGGAACAATCATAATCAAATTAAGAAAAAATTAAATATAAAGAATATAATCTAGGTACTTTCTTAGACCTTAGATCTCATGTATGATGAAAAAAATTAAAAATTATTTAAAGACTTGCAAGAGAATATTTAGATACATAAAAATAATTTTATAATGTAGAAAAGAAATATCATAGAAGAATGTCAAATCAAGGTCACAAACTATACTCTTAGAAGTGGTGGTAATTGTCTATTGCTTGAGCAAGAAATAAATTTTTTCTACTACAATAGATAAGGCATAAGAATAGTTTGAAGCATGTGATTGTTAATAGTAATAATACAAGAAATTTCAATGAAATTAGTAATTAAATAAAATTAGTGATATATTATATTTATTTTGACTTAAATTACTATTTTTTCTATTTAAATTAAAATATCCATTTGATTGCTATAATATTAAATAATCCAATCTTGCATCTCTATTTTATATAAAAAAACTTGATTAATTGATTATTAACTCAAAAAATGAAAGATTATAATAATTGAAAGATAATTAATACAAGCTATAAGATATTTTTTAACATTCCACCTTCTTTTTGTCTTTTAGATCAAATTAAATATATTTTTATTTAGTATTAATGATTTAAATATCATATAGAAATATCTAAAATTGAATTTTTTTTTAATGCTTTTATATATAAATATAATATAACATTTCTATAAAAAAATAAGTTTTGTGATAATAAATAGTAAAAATATTGAAAGATATGATTTGGCATAGAAATAATTAATTTATATTAGAATTGTTACTTAAGTATGATAAAGATCTTGATGGTGTAGAAATAAATTAGGTGTATATTTTTATTTCTCTTCAAATGAAACATATAGTGATTAATATGAAATAACTAATAGATAATCAAATAGATACAAATCATTAAAAAAAAATTAAGTACTCATGTAGATATAATTAAAATTTATACATCAAATATGCCTAAAAAAGATATTATATAATTAAATATTTTATTTATTATTAAAAGATATCAGAGATAAGAATTTAAAGAATGTATATTGTTAAGTGAGATGTTTTTTAAAGAAGGATAATATATATATATATATATATATATATATATATATATATATACTTAAAAAGAAACTAAAATGGCCATTGCCAAAGACTAGAAAACTAAAAACACTTGAAATTAAAGAAAAAGCAAGAAAAAAATTGACAATAATGAGAAAAGCTTTACTTTTGTTTCTATTTATACTATCTAAATAAGAGTTTTATAGTGACATTCTATACAACCTTCATTACGTGTCTAACTTGCTAGATAAGCTTTTTATATGTATGTCATATGTCCAACTGACCAACATGTGTAATACACGGCTAACTTATTGGTTAAATTTTCAATCCATCAATCACCTATAGACACATATAAAGACAAAGTTATATGTATGAAGCTTCTTAAAAACTTTACCATAAGATATTATTAAATTTATAATTATTAGATTAATTATATATATATATATATATAGATTTTTTTAATCTCTTTCTAGGTATGAATTCTAGAAAGAGCAATAATTACTTGTTGAAGAAATTGAATATGTGATAAATTATA